CAAAATTCTAAATTTTTGAAATTAGCAAAAGTTTTGAAAAATGCATGTTTTATGTCAATAGTAGCAACTTGTTTTTAAGAAAATTAATAAGTTGCTAGATTGATTCTTCTGAAAAACAGCATATTCCAAGGAATCAAATTCATCAACAACCAGGTATTCAGAAAAGTTACTACCCAAAAATTATTGCCTTTCATGTGATTTTTTTACACTTAGTGTAATTTTCCCTTGAACATGTTGAATCCAAAATATTTTTTTTTTTTGCACAGTAAATTTGTATCCCATTTTGGGTATAGGATAGTATAACCCTTTTTGGTGATTGTTCCCAACCTGTTTAGTCTGGGATCCTGACACAATATTCTCAATACCGTAAGCGGACTTCCGGTTCGAATATATTTGAATTGATGCTTGCGAAATTGAAAATATGTCATCAGGATTCCAGGTTACCAACCTGTAATACGTTCTATTGTCTTTAAATGCAATATGATGTAGAATCGTAATACGACTCCTTTCGATGTAGTTTGTCTTTAAATGCAATAGGATGTAGAATCGTAATATATAGTTTGTATACATAGATTAATGTTGGTGTTTAACGAAATGAAATCGTTAGGAATTGTGTGTTGTTTGTTTGATATTGTTTTCTAAATATGTAATAACTTCCCTCTATGTGAATTTCTATCCTTGCGAAAGATTTGTTTTAAATTCAAGTATTAGAATTATTTCTAAATCAGAATCTACTCTTACATCTCAATTTGTTTTTGTGAAGAAAATCTTGAGAATGAATTGATATTTTGATCTTAGATACATGATTTTTTTATTAGTTGTTATTGGCTTTGAACTAGCTTTCAGAAACTGCGAGTACTCTGAAATCTTAGTCTTTTTTATTGTGAGGGATGTATAATTACACTGCTACGTCCGGTTTGTGTTTTTGTTAGATGTTTTTTCTGCTTTTTATCGATCTGATGAGTTAAGCCCTTTTCAACGTGTTTAACCCCGCCACATTCTTCATTTGTTTTAAGTCAGTAAGCATGTAGTTCAGTGGTTGTCGTTGGTTAATGTCTGTCATGTTTGTTTTTCGTAATTTGTTTTGTTATAAATTAGGCCGTTAGTTTTCTCGATTGAATAGTTTTATATTTTTCATGTTGGGGCCGTTATACCTGCATGGAGTTATTTTCTATCAGAACGATGGTCTTTCTTTTGAAGAATCATCCCGGACGATACCAAGTTTCAATGAAATTTATTTCAATGACTAAAATAATGACCAAGGTCACTATTTTCCCGATTAAAATGATAACTTTAATTTACTTAAACATTTGATTCGTTTGATAGTTATCATGTGTTATTACCAATTGAGGTTTTATTTTTTAATTTCCATTTTTGGTAGGTTTAAGGCAGAAATAATCCTTTCCTTCGTTTATTGGTCTGAAATACCAAAAATCATCGTTGACGCACATTTAACTTTCGAAGCAAATAATGTGAAGTTTTGTTAATTTATCGCTACAATAAATGGACATTGTGTGAGATGAATTTTATTATACAAAACTTTCCAAAATACTTTAAAACAAGCAAGATTTAACACATTCGTGTGTAGGACTTTGAAAATCTTATTGATTCACACTGTGTCACGATTTCGTACTCTCTTCATGCCAGTTCTTTTAAAACTTTTTACATCCATATATACCTTTTACTCTTTCTAATGATCATGACCCAATACTCGTATTTCCTATAGAATAACAACACGTACTTTAGAATGGGGAGAGGGGGGGTATAATATTTAGTCGTAATTCTGAGTTTAAAAAAAAAAGTTGCATTTCAAGACAAAAGAGAGAAAACAATGATTCTGAATAGTTCGTTAAAACAATTGTTTAAAAAATAATCTGCTTTTCCGCAATAAAAATGTCATGAAAAAAAAGGATAAAAACATGGCACCCCCCTGTCATAAACAAAGTTGATACAATAAATTACTTACATTGTACAAAGTGACTTCAATAACCGTAACAATTCATTTGTGTCTTGCTTCATGCAGTTACAGTATATTTGTATTGTAACTGGACAATGATTTCTAAAGTTTATATCTAGATTAATTAGTGAGTTTTGTTTCACATTATAAATGAGCCGTAGGGCGTATTAAAACCTGAACGCATCAGAAAAGAATATCCCACTTTAGTGTGGTCGGTAAAATAGGATGGAAACATTGCAAATCTTTGCAGAAAAAAATATTTTATAAGTCAGATAATGGATTTTTTAAGGTTTTTCTTGTCGTATAACACACCGAGAGGTGTCAGGAATGCTCAAAGAAAGACATCCCTCCCTACGGTCGGTCTTTCATTTGATCAATCCTGACACCCCTCGGTGTGTTATACGACAAGAAAAACTTTAAAATATGCATTATCTATAACATAGCCGACCTATGTGGTATGGGTTTTTTTTCTTATTGTTGAAGGCCGTACCATTGGCAATAATTGATCACACCCATTTCATTTGAAATTTGGTGGATAGTTGTCTCATTGACAATCATACCACATCTCCTTACTTTTATCTTGAACTGCAGGTTGAAGTTTATTCCTTACGTTCTTATGTTAAGATGATGAATTGTAAAAAAAGGTCTGTGATAGTGCTGGTTACTCCAGGGCCTGGATTTATTTATACATTCCCAGACAATAACAAGACAATATGTACAATGAATAATACAAAGTAAATATTTACATAATGACCTTAAGATATATATATATATATATATATGCACATGTTGACAACATCGTAGTTTATTAAACAATGCTCTCATTTGATTAAGTAAGTTAAAATGATAAGTAAGGACATATTCCGCTTTGAGTGGATGACATTTTATATAAAATAAACCAATAGTTATTCTGTGTCCAGCTTGACGCTGTCCATTGCGCAACTTGGTCTGGCGTGATGGGGATGTTAATTTCACGTGTAAACGAACAAAGGCAAAAACCAACAGAATGGTAGACTTTAAATTTAATCAGCCGAATTACAAGATGTGGCACACGTGTAAATATACAATGGAATAGAAAAGAGTCAATTTAGCAATACTAAAAAACTGAAAATAATTTGCAAATGCAGTTTTAGAGCTACCTGGTATATATGTTTCGGTAAATTTGTAAAATAAGGGATTTTGTATGATCCATAAAATATTTAGAAATTTTGTAAAATCACTAGCCGTTAAAGTGACTTTGTGAAAACTCCGAAATTGTTATAGGCATTTTGTGACATCACTGAAAATACTGCTAGGGGTTTTGTATAATAAGTAGTTTAATGTTAAAACCATACATGTTTCAGAAATGTAGTTTGTCAAATATATATATATATAAAAAACATGTGTGAAGTGTTTTTTTAAATGACGTTACCTATTAATACTATTTTACAATGGTTATGAATGAAAGCCATGTGTACAAGTACAAAGATTATAAATTAGAATACAAAATGTACTTATTGTTGCACGATATAGTTTGGCTGACGTCAACTGTTACATAATTGACTGACATGCACTACGCTAGGCTTATGCCTAGTATTTCACAGCATTTATTCCCAGAACATTGACATTTGGAAAAAAAACTTGCTGGTTGAACATAAATGTAAGATAATTAAACTGCTTGACAAAGAGACATAATTCGTCTTAATCAACCTGCCCTCAAGAATTAAACTCTTTTCTTGTTATTGGGTTGACCACAATCCTTTTACTAGCACATCTTCATTGTTTTGCAAAGTTTTAATGGAAAAATAAATCAGATACAAAGCTTATAATTTTGCACGCCAGTCTACAAAAGACTCATTAATGACGCTCGAATAAAAAAAAATAAAAGGCCAGATAAAGAACGAAGCTGAAGAGCATTGGAAGGACGTGATATGGTGTATTAGTTCACAAAATTCCGACATTCTTCCTTATTATTATCTCAAAGTCACATATTAGATTTCAACATTAGTCAAAACACCTCATTGCAAGTTCGAAGATATCGCCTTGCACCAGTTTGTTCGAAGATATCCCCTAGCACCTGTGTGTTTGAAAATATACCCTAGCACCAGTTTGAGTTGGAATCTTGCCTTCGTTTCCATATTTATACCATTTGATTTTCTAGAGGGGCAGGAAGATTTAAAAAATGAATTTCTTGGCCTGGTTAGAGTTGAAAATAAATAACTTGCATAAGACAGGATGAAAAATAATTTTCTGGAACACAAAATGCCGGAATCAATCGTGTACAATGTGCAAATAAATGTCCGCGCTGTGAAATAAGCATTTCTAGCAACAGATGAAATTGAAAAGTCAATCCGAAAAAAAAATCCTCCTACCAGCCCCCTCGTGTTACATGTGAATACCATTTTGAGATAGAAAGTTCAACGAACAGCAAGAAATATCGTAATACAAAATTACAATTATAAAACATCAATTACATTTTTCTAAGTTTCAAAATACTTTTTAATTAATTCAATATATCGGACACAAGCTATCACAACTTACAAAGGTCCTTTCTCGCCCAATAAAGAAAAACAATAACAGAAACTGGAACAGAGAAGAAAAAAATATAAAAATAAAAAGATTTGAGATTTAAGAAGTTTTCTTTTGCAAGAAGATCGTTATAAAAGTAAGAAGATGTGGTATGATTGCCAATGAGAAAACTCTCCACTAGAGACCAAATGACGTAGAAGTAAGAAACTATAGGTCACCGTACGGCCTTCAACAATGAGTAAAGCCCATACCACACAGCAAGCTATAAAAGGCCTCGAAGTGACAAATGTGAAACTAATAAATGAGAAAACTAACGGTCTATTTCATGCATAAAAACAATAAATAAACGAAAAACAAATACAGCATACAGCAACTAACGACTACAACTAAATTATAGCCTCTTGACATTAGCATTGATAAAAAATGATCATGATGTTTCATGTTAGGGCCTTTTTCCGCTGTTCGTTGCCTCGATAAAATCATTGTAGGAAGCCGGTTGTGTTTACGCACAATGAAATAATACTTCAACACAATATTAAATTTACAATGATTTTATTGTTTAGATAATAGTCATACATTTTATTATATAGTTGTGACATATTTGTCTACCATTTTAATAGCTTTCGTTAATCGGAATTCCAAACGATGAAATCCAGTTGACATTTTTTCAATAGATTCTACAAACAATTCAAGCTCGTCTTTATTCGTTGGAATATGCCTCATAGAACCAAAATCCAGGTAATTTCTTTTATGAGCAGGCATCTTTGGTCCATCGACTTTTCTTTTAGCTGCTTGTTTCAACATATATTCTCGACGTGTTGGTTTGTTGGTGGAAGACATAAAAGGGTCAGGTGCTGGCGTTGCACTCATCATTTCTGATGGCATACCTTGAGGGTTTCCCTGCATATTTCCCCACATTGATCCAGCGGCTCCATCGAAATGTGCATATGGTGGTGCACCTGGACCTAACATACCTGGCATTTGTCCATAAAAATGTTGTGCTTCACCACCACCGTGAGGCATCATATTCCATACATTTTGTGTACCAACAAAATCAGGCAATAATAACAGTAGGTAATAAAGTAAATTCATCTATAAAAATAAAACAAGTAAAATTATTAATATAAAAAAACGGACGACTGAATTGATTAAAATATAGATTTGCTCAAGAGATAAGATGTCTTTCTTTTCGTTGTGCTGTTGGGTTGCCTTCTCATTTCCGTATACCCCAATATGTGTGTTCATGAATGGACAGGTTAATTGATCGGTTGATTTGGGAGCATCGGTGGCCTAGTGGTCTTAGTAGTTTTACATTTGTCATTTCGGGCCCTTTTAAAGCTGACTATGCGGTATGGGTTTTACTCATCGTTGGAGGCCGTACGGTGACCTATATTTGTTAATTTCTATGTCATTTGGTCTCTTGTGGAGAGTTGTCTCATTAGTAATCATACCACATCTTCTTATTTTTATATTAGTCGTTCATCTATAATGATCACTAGATTGTCAACACTAAGGTTTTGAGTTCGAACACAACTCTTGGCAGGTGCGTTCAATTCCGACTAGGATTGTCAGTATTCCTGTTGAAGTTCAAACTGTCCTCTATGATATAAACAAGTGGGCTACAATTGGCGTTAAACACCAACAAATAATTAATCGTTCAGTGTTCTTTACCCCATTTAATTGTTCGGTATTTAATAAGGTAGTTAATAGTGATCAATATAATTGAAGAGGGGGTATTTGTTGTCAGGACATCGGCACTTACACAACCTACACGATGCATTTTGATTTAATTTCAGATCTTATATAGTTAATGTTCTCCTTCAGAAAAAATTAAATAACAAAAAAACCGAACGACAAGGAAAATTCCAAACGGAAAGTCCTTTACCAAATTGCTAAATCAAAAGCTCAAACACCTCAAACGAATGCAAAACAACTGTCATATTCCTAACTTGGTACAGGCATTTCCTTGTGTACAAAATGGTGGATTAAACTTTGTTTTTAGCTAGCTAAACCTCTCACTTGTATGACATTCGCATAGAATTCCATAATATTGACATCAGTGTCAGAAATTATCTTGAGTAACTCTTCTGGTTATTAAACATTTGTTTACTTCTGTTATGAAGGCCTTTAGGGTGATATCATTTTATACTAAAGCCTTATGTCATTTTGATTTCCATCTGTTGCTTTCCGACCTTGCCACGAAATTCATTAATGTGCCAAAAAATATTTGTACCGACAGTACGGAACAACATATTTAATAAAGACTTTTACGTGCCTAATAGATCCTAATACAAATTCTTATATACTTATTTTAAAACAATATCCTGTCTATAATTCTGATGTTTTTATGAATTTACATATATTTAAATAGAATATGAAAATAAATCCTTAATCCTTAAATAAAATGTCTTCGACCAAGTCAAACAAGACAGAAATTAAGAGTAAACTAAATTTTTCATACCTTGTTAGTGTTGCCGCTTTTATATATAAATAAATGCGTAACTTAATTTGTCATACCTGACACAAACATGGACGGAATAAATTATCATCCTTTGATTAATTTTCTAATTATGAATACAAAGTATACAAAGTGACCGAACAATTATAAACGTGTGTGTACGTTCTATACTTGTATTCACTAATAAACCTTACGTTTTATATCAGATTATTTAGCTTTTAGATGGATTTAAATGAAATCACTAATGACATATATTGTTATTTACTCCACAAACACACACAAAGATGCTTCGAAGGACAACATTTCATGGCTTTGACTAGAATAATTCAATAATTGGGTCATTTTGTCTGATATGACAGCCTTAAAAAGTCATGTTGGTTAGGCCTAAAGTGCACATATTCCGGGAAAAGTGCAATAAAGGCTGTTAGCACTTTCGGCATACATTTATTTGGTTTCAAATTCCATTTTTCGCTACCATATACCTCTATGGATTAGGCTATTATGTTAGGTTCTTTTTGGTCATATAGCTCTCCAACTATTTGAGTTCTTATACAGCCTTAGGTTTCAAATATTTGGCTTTGAGCGTTCCTGATGAAGTTTAATACAGAAAAGGGCTTCGGCCGCATGGAATTTATAAAGTGCTGTTTTCAATTTGCATTTTTTTTCTGGTGGGTTCAAAAGTCGCCGATCAGCAAAATGTTGCTTACTTTCATCTTATAATTATCTATTTCCTATTCGCGATACTATTTGAATATTTCTCCTTCTCCATTTCGTTTAACGATTAACATAAATCAAAACAAAACAATTCCTTTACCGGGATTTTAATTACCAGCAATCTGTCTTTTAATCTTAATACAGTACAGAAACAGCACTTAACTAAAAAAAATAACGGTATCATGAAGTAACAAAAACACAAATACAAACAAATCAATGGGGGTTGTCCAGTTCCATATCAATATATATATTTTGTTCGTCCATACACTTGACACGTTCTTTACTTGTTTCGTTTGTGTAATTACAATAATAGGGATATGCATTCTGTTTTGCCCTAACCAACAATTATTGTATGTTTATAACGATAAATTTATATGTATGTGAATTTGGACAGTAACCAAAATATATCATTCCTCTCGGGTACATTCTGAATAGACACAACATCGAGTACAATCTGAAATTTATTTTTCGTTGGTTAAGCTCGGAACAAAATAATAGCTGAAGTATCAAACGTTGAATAACAATAACAAAAATTAACATAAAAGGATGTCCAAAACAGTAAGGAGAACCAATGCATGGGGAATATGATTGTAAAAATAAACGAATTTTACATCTTTTGGTCATTGAAAAGCAGCAAATTTTCAAGTTTAAAAACCAATTAATATCATGTCAGTACAAACAAGTCACCAGGTTTACAATCAGAGACTTGAATACGACTGACATTTAGTACTTTGCATCACTTTACCTAGATAATTATGTTTTCAGAACAATCATAATTGTTTTTGAATAAATCTGGCCATTGGCTTTGACATAGGCCTTATACTATAGCTCACTATACGGTACGAGTTTGTTTTGTTAGTCGTAAAAAGGCGAACGTTGACCTGTAACTGCTCACATCCTTGTCTTTTTGGTCTTTGATGGATAGTTACCTCTTTGGCAATCATACAAAATATTTTATCTTTTTTTTATTTTTAAAATGGTTGGTCTGTGATGTCATTATGTGTTCTGTCGTTATGAAAAACATATCTGTAAGAATCGTTTTATGTCCTGCAATGACGGAAAACCCGAAATTCGCGTATGCAACATTAGCGATGAGATTATATTTTATCATAATTTTTAACCGTTTCGGATCTATAAATAAACAACATAAACTCAATTTCGGTAAATTAAAACCATACTATATATTATTGTTATTCACATATGCATATTTCAACTGATTTTTATAGTTAGTTCTTATGTTTTACTGTTACACCAATGTCCCAGGTTAGGCGGAGTTTGGCGCCTTCAAACATGTTTAACCCCGCCACATTATTTATGTGCATGTCCCAAGTCAAGGGCATGTAGTTCAGTGGTTGTCGTTGGTTCATGTCTGTCATATTTGTTTTTCGTATATTGTTTTGTTATAAATTAGGCCTTTTATAGTCGACTAAATGGTATGGGTTTTTCTCATTGTTGAAGGCCGTACGTTGCCTGTAAATACTTACATCTACTTCATTTGAACTTTGGTGGAGAGTTGTCTCATTGGCAATCATACCATCACTCCTTATTTTCATATAAGCCTAAAGGTTTGTTTTTAGAATGTGGATTTGTTCAATTTGTATATTAGTACGGCGGCTTTGTGAAAAATTGTGCACATCCTGCTACAAGCATGAAATTTGGCATATACCTTCCTCAACTTTTACTCTTTTATATCAGATAGGGAGGCATTTGAAAAAAAATTCTCACTTCCGGTAAAATCCAAAATGGCGGACATCATACTTAAATCAGCCCAATATCGATGGCTAGTATGTGAAAAGGTGTTATTATCAAGCTACTATCATAATATTTGGTACAAACCTTTGTTATGTACTACTTTGGATATATCATATAGATTAGATGTCTTCGAAAACCGTATTTCCGGTAAAATCGAACATGGCGGACATTGTACTAAAATAAGCTTATTTTTAGGGAGGGTAATTGAAATGTGTTTTAAAGTATTGCTTCTATCATTATATTGTGCAGGAACCTTTCTTTGGTGCTTCTCATGGATACAATTTAAAGGAAATATGTCTTTAAAACCCCTACTTCCGGTGATATCCAATATGGCGGACATAGAAATATCAAATTTTTATTTTAATATTAAATTTTTTTCAAAATGTAAAGAAAATGTTTTTTTTTGTGCTGGTCATTTAATTTTTGGCTTTAAGTTATCCTCAAAACCACTAATGCTCTTCAACTGTAAATGTTTAAATACAAAGTTAACACTTCAGGTAAAAAAACAAATATGGCGTAAATTTCAAAGATGAGTCCTCAATCCATATCTTCGATGTAGAGTTTTGGATAGATTGATTAAAACAAAATAAAATCACTTAAGTACTAAAACATCTTTTGAATTACTAATTTATGGCCGCAAATACATGTTTATTCACAATCGGAGAGCTGATTATCCACATTTACAAAGACCGTGATATTGTTTTTTGCATCCAATGTACAAGCTCTTGATAAGATGAAGAGGCCTCACAAAGAGTTGTCCAAAAGGGTTTCCATGGATTATATTTTTCCCTTCGCAATTCATAAGCGTCTGGACTAGTTAGCATTGGAACCAATTCAAAGATTGTTACTCATTCACACCCGCCATGGTATATTGCACGTTTTACATGCTGAAAAAGACTAGACCGAGTCGTGGGAATAGCCTCAATAAGTCTTTCCTCTTCCAAAAACACATGTTTTCTTGCTTCGTTAACCCCATCTGATAAATTTGTTCAATCTTACAACAAAACCACGTATCGTTTTATCAATGACATAATCAAATCCATATCTGGTTATGTTGGCTGATCAATCATCATTCTAAATGATAAAGTCACATCTTCAAATATGTCACCAACGCAGTTCCTTTTCCAGCAAACGTGTAATCTCTCAATGCCTAGTGCATTTGAAAGGTCATGGATAGATATATATCTAAAGCTTTTCCCACTTCCAAATGCAAGCCAAAGTTCGTCTGCTCCTATGTCACGGAATAGCGAAACAGCAATGACAACAACATCAGTATCGACTGTTCGAGTCATGACTCAGTTAAGTCTGTGTTTCACTGCATCAGCCACATGCATCTTGATTCTAGTGTCAGCCTCTTCATGTGAACATGGTGCTAAGCTTGAAACATCATCATGTGGTGGATAACACAGAACATCCTCAGCATTTGTTGCTACAACTACCTTTTCCTCAAAATCTATTGAGCAATCTGCTGTGAATGAAAACTAAAAAGTTCTTTCTTATTGTCGTCATCTCTAAAAACCTTTGCCAATTTTGAGGAATTTGTTTTGACCCTGGATTCGCCTGTGTATTCCTTTTCCCCTAAATGTAGCTCTTGCTTCTTGTAGCAGCCTGTAAACTACCGGTATTGTCTATGTACGCATCCGAGACTACATCCTCTGTTACAGTTTCAAGGTGTTTCATAACGAGTATGCTGATAGGGTGTTATGTCCTTACCTTAAAAAATACCTTAAAACTGTTACAGGAGTGGATGAAGTCTTGGATGCGTATGGTAGTTGTAGCAACAAATGCTCAGGATATTCTATTTTATCCACCACGTGAAGTATTTCAAGTTTAACACCATGTTCGCATTTAGAGGCTGACACTAGAATCATGGTGCATGTGTCTGATGCAGTGAAACACGAACTCAAATGAGTCATGATTCGAACAGTTGTTATTGATGATGCTGTCATTACTATTTCGCTTTTCCATGACATAGGGGTAGACGAACTATGGACTGTGTTTGGGAGAGCAAAAAGCTTTGGATAAATATCTATCAATGACCTTTCAAATGCACTAGGCAATGAGTGATCACACAGACTTATTGTGATCCATGCCTTAACCGGTTGTGATACGGTTCTATGTTCGTTTTAAAAGGAAAAAAGACTGCGTTGGAGACATTGATGGCATTTGAAGATGTGACTTTAACATAAGGAATGATGATTGATCAGCCTAAATCACCAGGGTTTAACTGTAAGATCGCACAAACTTATCAGATGGGGTTAACATGGTTAACGAAGCAAGAAAATAACTATTTGCGCAAAAGGGAAGGCTAATTGAGGCTATTCCCTCAACTTGGTCTAGTCTTTTCCAGCATGTTAAACGTGCAATATACTAAGGCAGGTGTTAAGGGGGACGAGCTTGGAATTGGCTCTTATGCTACCCAGTCCAGGCGCTAATGGCTGGCGAAGGGACAAAGAGGATCACTTTTAAAAACTCTTTCTGAGGCCTCATCATTTTGTCAGAAGCTTGTACATTGTGGATGTAAGAAAGGATGCCGTGGTCGTTGTTAATGTGGAAAATCGGGTCTCCCGTGCACTGCTTTGTAAGCATGTGGGTGGTGATTGTGAATAAACATGTATT